GGGGGGTGGTGGGTGGTGGGTGGTGGTGGGTGGTGGTGTCGGTAGAGTAAGAGGTTCGAGGTTGGAGCTGTTCCAGGTACGATGGATGGGAGGAACCGTGCGACCCGCGACAACAGGTGAGAGGGAGGCGGGAGGAGTCTCCTAGGAGCAGGCAGGCAGGCAGGTAGGCGATGCAGCGTCGGCGCTGTCGTGGTGGGCAGACGATCCGTGGTAGTCGATTGCAGCTTGCAGCGGTGGTCGTCGGTACGAGTAGGTACTGTACTCGAGAGGAACAATGGGAATCGTACCGCGCAGGCTAGGACCGTCCGTCGACTACAGACTACCACTACTCTACTCACAAGTCCAACAATCCGTGGGTCGGGAGGAGGAACCGGACTCGATCAGGGAGGACGGGGATGGGACTGGGACTCGCGAATTGGTACTTGCGTAGCGATGACGAGACGCTCAGAAAAAGGGGGCGCGCGACAGGTCAAAGTGAGGAATACCAGAGGTAAGTGAGTGGTGGGTGGTAGAGGTGGAGGTGAGGTGAGGTGAGAGAATGTTGTAGCAGTCGGGTCAAGAGGGTGAGGGTGAGGGTGAGGGTGAGGGTGAGGGTGACGTGCGCGGAGGATGTGCTGTGAAGGTATGGGTGAGTGATGTGATGGAGGGGGGGTTAGTGAAGTGGTTGGTGTTGGAAGGTGTCGCAAGAGAGAGCATGTCGAAATGTGGGTGCGGGTGCTGGGCTGGGCTGGGCTGCTGGGGGAGCTGGGAAGCTGGGGAGCTGCGGTGGTCGAGGCGATGGATTAGCGTCCAGTCTAGAGCCCTGGGCCTTGTCGGTGCATCTTCCAGGGTGGAGGGCCTCCACTGTCGACCCTGTAGGCACGCTGGGCATGCTAGGGCCAGGAAGGCTCTAGGCGCTGATGATCTCGACGCAGTAACACACGCCGTCGCTCTGTTCTTGTGCGGTACGGTACCGGTACAAGTACGGTACGGAGTATGGTGCTATAGTATATAATTTGAGTGGTAAGAGTACTCGTGCTACTCGAGTACACTCGTACTACAGAAGCATCGACATTGGCATCGACGAGCGAGCGTGACGATGCACTCCACGTTTTGGACAATGCTCTCCCGTCCGGTGCGACGCCTACGTACGCGCTTCAAAGCATTCATCCGCCCAAGATATAAATAGGGGAGCATGCAAGCTGGGGACTCTGTAGACTCCGAAATGTACCATACCCCACCATACAGTACAGGACCTCCAGGTAACAGCCAGTGTCCACTCGAGCCACTGTCCAGCCCAGCTCATCTCAACAGTATCGACGTATCGTCTCCACCGTAACCTACGTACCTACAGTAGGTAATCTAGGAAGTAACCTACTCCGTTCCCTACACGCTACACGCTACACGCTACACGCTACACGCTACACCAGCGTCCGTACCTTTTGCCGATAAGCCTCTAGCCTCTACTCGAGTAGCTCCAGCATCTAGCCTCCCTCTAGCCTCGCCCAACATCAAAACGTAAAAATGCAAAGGCACCGCACCATACCGGGAAGACTCAAACTTCAATTCCAACACCACATGGTGCATTGTTTGGTTTCACAGCCGCCGCATGCTTAGCTAACGCCAACCAAACCTTCCACCACCACCAACACTCACGCTTCCAGCCTGAGGTTCGTTCCTCAGGCGCCTGGACACAGTATACGGTGCAATTCAACGTCGCTCCCACAGGCGAGAGGACGAGGGAAGCTGCAGCTTCATAAGCTCCGCTCTGCAAGCTTGGTGCTGGGGTAGTGTTGGCGCATCAGCGGTGTTAAGAGCCTAGCCGCACTTGGCAAAAGACCGAAGATGCAGACCACTCCCACTTCCACCTCGCCCAAATCCCCACCACCCCAGGGTGGTCCTTGCCATGGCCCGTGGAGGTCTCACAAGTGCAGGAAGAGGGGCACGGAGGCTGCAAAAAGCGTGGGAGAGAAATCACTCCACCAAAAGTCTCCGGAGCGGTGCGAACATCATGATTTAAACGCCATGGAAATCCAGTACCATTTCGTCCGAACCATGAGCTTCAATCGCTGGACTTGACGACAGCGAAGTGATGAACGTTGCAATTTTGCATGGTGGTGTGCGGAAAACACCAAGACACGAAAACGAGGCACCCACGAGAAGAGGAAACGTTAATCATCCATACGACCAGGCGAGCAATGGAGACTTCCATTCGCATTCAATCACCAAAGGTACTTTCTCCAATGAAAGGGAGATCCCATCTTATCACTCCCTCGGTTCCCGGAATCAGATATCTGAAGGGTTTTTGATTCGTGGATGGGAATATCACATTACGGAGAGAAACAAGAATCACACTTCTCTCGTTGGTCCAAATGGCATCGAGGACATGCAAACCATGGGAAATCTCCGTTGTCAAAATCAAATCCCTCAACATTCCGATCGTACGAAGCAATCAATGGTATTGGCCCCACGAGAATGCCATCCGCGGGGACTGACCTGGCCTGGTAGGGTGTCAGATCTCGGAATCTCAACAGAAAACTTCTCAGAAGCGAATGTCTCAGCGTCGTTTGGGGGTCCATCATCGAAATTCAATTTTGACCTCAGCTCAAGGAAAGATGCATGAGGCAACTGCCCTCATGTGCTTCTTCCCCACGAGATTTCCAGAAAGCCAAAATCCATAATCCCCTCTCCTGTGTACGGAGCATTTCAACTTCTCGATTCATCACTTGGCAACACGGCGGAACGGCTCGATGCTGCTGTCAGGTTGTCCCTCTTCCCGAAAGAAGAAACTTCGAAAGGTGTCGGCTGTCAAGCGGGAGAGGGGAATCAACTCCCAGCGTCCCGGTAACACAGACACCGGGCTGCGATGCCCAGCCTGGGTGGAGAGGATGTGTGTGGACCGTGTGAGATGGACCGAGATGGATGGAGAAATTCGGTGCCAGACTGCAATCATGCCAATACTGTACACCGGCAGTCTACCCGTCGCCTCGCCTTTGCAGGTCACCCGTGGATTTTCAAAGGTCAGCAATGGTGAATTGTTGTCCCGCATCATCATCACCGGATGGGATCGCAGGACGGCGATAAATGTCGCAGGTTAACAAGTTGTAGCCCTTGCTGATCTCCTTCGTCAGCCAATTCTTTCTTGTACAAGTACTCGCACGAGATCAAGGATCGTGTCGAGCGAAGGGTCGAGGCACGTGGAAAGGGAATCTCGGTGAAGGACCTCGACGTGGTGAATTCGCATACTGCAGCCGCTTCATTATGTAGGAGGAGTGATAGCTCTTGTAATGGACGGTGATTGCTGCAATCCAGTGGTCACAGCATCTCCAAGGCGCAGGTTTTGCTGGTGTACTGGACGCTGGGTGGACAAGCAAGTCAAGGATGATGCAGCCGATAAGTGATAAGAAGTGACCAGGATGAGGATAGCAGGGTGCCAGTCTCTGCGGCACAGCCCACTTGGAAGTCTGTGCTTCTTTCCGATATGGTAATGGCGATGATGGAGGATTGATGACATTTGGAGTTCTCAATACTCTGTGCCTAGATCAACTGTTCTGAGATCAACAAACTTCTCAGGATATGCTGGACAAAATAAATGAACATACATCAGGTGGTCCAAAAAGTGTCGGCGTTTGTCGGTTTAAACCGTATTCTAAGCGACACTCAATATCCTAGGGATCTGGTGGGATTACAGTACGGTATTGTCCAGGGCCTTTTAACCTCAAAGTTCTTTGTAACTTCCCATATCCCACGTTGAAGCCATCACCTCACATCCCCAAAAACAGGTATCAAGGTTGGATTGGCTGCGCTTCACAACCCAGGGGTTTCGCACCCCTATGATTGGCACATACATTTCTACCCACGAGGGGAAAATGCTTTGCCCTTGCTCACCACTGCACCAACAATCCAGGATCAGGGTTTCAAGACCGGATGTGACTTTTTGATAGGCCGCATGGTAACCTGCGGCCAGCGCCAGCGCCAGGGCATGCGTTTTGAGTTGCGGATGGGGGTGGGTGTATGGATGTCACCGTACTCCCTCCCTCCATAGCCATACATTCGTCTCTTTTGAAGATCTTGAGGATTCTATTTCCTCTTTGGTACGCACTGTCAGCTCTCTTTATTGATTGTTTGTTCGTTGTTGGGTATAAGCTTCATGTTATTAACCAACGATCTTCTCTTCAGCCGCGGAAATTGGGATTGGCTGTCAGTTATCAAGTGATCAGCAGGAACAGGAACGATGGGAGGGGCGAACAAACTACTCTTACATGTCATGTTTGCTTGCTCCGCTCTATGCGTGGTAACCATGAGAGTTCTCAGCTATTTTCATATCTTGTAGGTTATATGTCTAGGTTTCAGAGATTTTAATTCTTTTCACCCAATTCTGTCAAAGGCAGAGTATCTGGGTATCTCAAGACATCTCCCGCTGAAATGAAATGTCAGAGGACCATTGGAGAGCTATACAAACATATAGACCTGACTTCGTCATCAGTGGGTGTTCCTTTCTACAAGATTGTATCTTATACACATCCCACTGTACTAACTATCAGCCTCATCCAGCCTCATCCATTCCATCATTCCCCACCCAAATATCCTAATCAAATATCTGCTTACCCTACCACTTACCACTAACCACTTACCACTAACCACTTACCACTAACCACTTACCACTAACCACTTACCACTAACCACTTACCACTAACCACTTACCACTTAAAAACCACACAATTCCCTCAACTGCTCCTTGCCAGAGCACCTGCATCTCCACCTCTACGCATCCACCCCTATTTACATATCTAGTATTACAACCACCACATTCGACTAGCGCAACAAACCTGCATACCCGTTCCAAGTGAAGTGGGAATTTTGACGGCTGCGAGGGAGGGGAGTGAGGCTGAGGCTGAATCTAAGGACCTTGTTAGTAAAAGGTATACTACTATACTTCTTTCTTATACTTTTCTTTAGAAGAGAGAAAGGGGAATATATAAGGGGGGAGTTAAGTCAAGGCTATAAGTATACTATTCCTCAAGTATCATAGTACCGTAGGTATAGCCGTAGAAGTACGTTCCTTACGTCGAAATCCTAGGTAGTTTAATTTACTCTATCTACTATACTCCGACTTCTACTTATAGAATTTGATCCTAGGTATTTTACGTATACGTATAAGACCCCGAATAATTACGGTAGTTAGTATACCACAAACCCCCTTATAAAACGATCTAGCCTCCCCCTCGCTTCCTCTTATTCCCTATTCCCTACTAGTACCTATATCTTTTATTCACATGATAATTCTCTATTCTCTACTCTAGGTGCCTAGGTAGGTACCTACTAAACCTCTCCTTCCATCCCCACCTTACCCAAGTTTCCACATGATATTTCCCTAGGTATTCCCCACTTGCTTACCTTATAGGTAGAGGTACACAACTTTTCACATGACAACTCCACCGTACCCACCAATCCTCCTCCCCATTTACCCCACTTCACACACACCGTACCCACACCGCACCCACAAATCCCCTTTCCACTTTCCACTTTCCTTTTTCCCTTCAAAAATTCAAATAAACTCGACCAAAATAGCTAATCCGAAAAGAATAAAGCTTCTGTGGTCCAATGGTTAGGATTCCACCCTTCCATGTTTCCTTCTCTATCTAGGTACGAAAAAATGGGATAGGAGGAAAGAGAGGTGGAGGTTCGTGTTCGATTCACGGCAGTTGCATGGAGAATATCTTTTGGGTTTTTTGGTGGTTTTTCTTAGGAGGTAGGAGTATGAGATATTTTTTCAAATGGAAAAATAAATAGGAGGAAATAGGAGGGAGGAAAGGAGGGAGAGGGAAGGAAGGACTATAGGAGTTTTGTTTTATTTTATGTATTTTTTAAAAATAGAGAGGGAATAAAATAAAGAATATTTAGAAGGGCTAAAAGAATTCCTTTCTTCTTATAATATTTTTAAGATGTTTTTAAAAGATAAGATATATTCTATTTTTATATTAACTTATACAAATTTAAATATCTTCTATACTACCCGGCGTAACTCGAAAGTAGGTTAAGGACGTACTAACCTATAATATAAGACACCTAAAGTAAACTATACTAAAACTAATTTTCGACTATATTAATACTTCTACTATAATACTATAATAATAATAATACTTATTAATTATTTAAGTATATAAAAAGATATAACTTAATTAGCTAAATAAAATAACGTGCATGTATAGCGAACCGGCCAAACAAGCGAACTGTCACGAATCACGTGTTGGCATGTGATAAGCAAAGACCAGGCGGCGTCCTGACAGGTTAAGCACCAGCAACACACTCTTATAGCAAATAGGGATGCTTAGGCTAGCTAAGCGATCCAGGGATTTCATCTGATAGAAGTCATGTGACCGTCATTGATCATTGGTGATCAACTGAGCAACGCTGAGCTGGATCAGTGGGATCAGGGTGATCATAATGATCAACGAGCAAGAAGGTTCTATATAAGACTGGCACGTCTGCCATCAGATAGGAGCTTCGTGCTCAACTTAGTTATCAATCTTATCATATTAGTTTGATATCTTTGATACAAGTAACGAGTTCACT